ACCGCAGGAGTCCTCACCGAGCCCCGAAGGGCTCTCATCCGCGGCCTGGCCCGTGAAGCGCAGGACTTGTTAACCCCAGGCTTGTTGGCTCCGGACAGGTAACGTGAGCGCAGGTCTCTGTGCTGCGCGCCCTGGGCTGTCCGCGCAGGACACCGAGAAATGCCCCCGTCCTTCTTACTGTTTCCTCTGACACAAAGCCAGCTTCTAAGACCCAGATATCAGCAAAGGGACAGCATGACTCAAATATCGGGAAATTTTGAAATGTCCTGAGCCAGCACAGACAGCACAAGTAAACTTAATTTGGCTCTGCAATGTATACTTTGCTATACAGGTTTTGACTACATAGTTGTGCAGATCCCCTACACCCATCACGTTTTGACCAGAGGGTGATGCATGAATGAGGAAGAAATGCGGGATTTACTTTTAAGTAGTTTATTCAAACAGGAGAGAAAATAAACGGAGAGCAAGAAGGAAATGTCGTTTACTCCTGATCTTGATGAGGCAGACAGGATTGTTCCTCGCGCCTTATAATTTCAGGAGTGCATTTTTGTTGCCACAGAGTAAGGTCAAGGAGGGAGATAGCACACTTAGACTGGTGTGTTTTCTTTAAACGTGGGAGAAGGTTGTGGTGAGAATGTCAAGAGCCTCCGAACTGTTCATCTGTAAACCAAGTGCCTTAAATGTGCTGGCATTCTCTGATCTAGGTGTGTAGCTCCTTCCTACCCTCTAAGTAAGTAAGTTAGATTCTGTTATCGCTGGACAGAATCCCTCTACCTATTGCAAAGAGGGCCAAGATAGGATTTTGCGTAGTCTGAATCTTCTGTTTTAAGCTTTATTTCAGTTATTGCTATGTCAAAGTAGCTTTTATAACACTTACTCTGTATGTATCCTGTTATCTGAAGTTTTGCCTCATCCTTTACAATCCAATATTCTTTCCGTACAGGCAGATTTATTGGTCTCCCTATTTAGACTTAGCACAGGATTCTAAATTTACTAACGTTATCTAGATACATAGTATCTCTAAATGTCAAGTTTCTTGAGGCTGACCTTTTTTTTCTGGGCATTTCTTTAAAAACTTTATCTGTCACAGAGGCTTCAGTGACGGAAGCCAGCAGGGTTGCCACTGTGCAGCGTAGGCAGAATCTCCACCTGATTTATTTTGATTACTAGCAAAATAATAGCATTTCTTCAAATACACTGTTTACAAAGTTGCATGGGTTAAATGTAACTGAAATCAATGCACTAAATATGTTTATTCAATCATAAATTAATAAGAATGAAGTTAACATACTTACTTTGAATATATGGTAGATCAGTCACTGAAATAAATAGTTTGAGGACTGGATCCTCAGCGAGTATATTGGTATCTCCTCACCCCCCATAGAGCTGTGTTTCATTAGGTTTCACTTTGCAGCACTGGAGAATATGGCCACATAGCATGTGGTTTATTTGAGCGTTATCGCTACAGTCTGGGATCACATATGCATGCTTAAAGGGCAATATATAACTAGCTACATAGAGATTTATCTGGGTTTCTAAACTGTAAAGCCGAAAGAGTGCAACAGATAATCTGGTCTGACTTTAACCAGAAAGATACTTGTCATAAATTAATGGTTAACGTAGGAAATATATCTGAAAGGTACCATCCGGACCGTCTAATCTGAACTGACCTTCTAGTTGCTGTCACATGCAATTCAAGTAACTAAATGTAGAAGTATTTATCTGTTTCTTACAGGTTTTCTTTCTTGTACTAATCCCACTGAAACACAGTCCTAAAATTTCACTCCTTGGAAGTGTAGAAAGCCTATTTATTTACTAATTTCAAATGAATTAATTTATTTAATTTTAAGTATAGACTGATTTTTGCTGATTTGTCCTTGGCTAATGCTGTCCATGAGTTTAAATAGTTTTTGTCCTTTTCTGATGTTCAGCCATAGTTTATTTGTTATATCCACTCTCCCTTCTTCTGTTTTAGCTTCCCTTGTTAGTTTAGCCTCCTTTCATTAGACAGGAAACTCTTACTAGTCTCCTGATTATCCCATTGAGTCTTTTGGGCATATGCTAGGTTGAATTCATCCCTATTAAATATGACTAGACGACTAGACTAGTTTATCTAGACTACCACCAGCCTAAAAACTGCTGGACTAGTACTATTACTTCAGGTCTTGTACAGTGTCTGTAATGGAAATGCATAGCCTGATGCATCCTAGGATTATATATATGTATATACACACACACATATATATATATATAGAGAGAGAGAGAGAGAGAGAGTGTGCGTGTGTAGACATCAATGTCCCAAAATCATGTTGTGATCAGTTAATAAACCAGATGTCCCCTGTTGCTTTTCATTAATGAACACATAAATAACAGTAAGAATTCTTGATTCTCCCCAAGCCACAGTAAGCTCTTTGAACTTTGCTTTCATCTCCTTGTATGTGGAATTTTCATTCATATATCATTTTCATGAATAAGGCCCTTTCCATTAATCAACTTCACTTTGAAACCGTGTTCAACCTGTACCATAGCCCTGTTCCCTCCCCTGAGACTGCCAGGGCCGAGAGCGTGTCACAGCCCCTTTCTAGAAGTTCAGTGGGCTGAGTTAAAGAGTTTAGCCAGCTGAGCCCAAGGTCAGCTCCTTCCCTGTTAAAAGTCTAAAAGCAAGGGCCAGCCCCTCCTTTCCCTAAGGAACAGCTTTTAGACTGAGGCTATTTACACCAGCTTTTACCTGCCTGTGCTGCGTTGTGACTGTGCAGCAGCTATGTCTGCACCCAGTTTCCTACCTCCGTGATTCTGATCCTGACCTGGACCTGCTGGCTTGGCTTCCAGGCTTGGTCACCAACCTGCCTCAGCGCTACGAGCTTGCTGGGTCGTCACTGGACTGTATCCAGCTGTGATCAGCGTCTCTGGACCTGATCCTGACCCTGACTTGCTACTCCACATCCTGGCTCTTTGTCCGTGAGGTGACTGCTCCACCTGCCTTGTTTTTGCCCTTAGCTCCCACCTCACCTTCCCTTGAGGAGCAGCCAGTCCTCACTTGTCCCTAACACAGACACACAAACACAGACCCCTGTTACATCATTCCTTTATAATTTGTATCTAACCTATGCTTTTGTGTGGAAAAAGTTGAACAGAAGCAGTGATGATGGAGCAATTAGGTTAGGACACCTGGATGTAAAACAAGGAGTGAAATGAGAAAAAAATTCTGAACCATCTGTAGCTAACAGCTCTTTGAATCTCACGTAGGTTATTTACAAATGTACATTGCTTGTCTCCATGCCGTGTTCATCCTAATGGTAAACCCTTTGGGATGTAGATTGCGTTTTTTCTTTGTGTTTGTATAGGTTCTTGTGCACTGGGAAACAGATGTGGTGCAAATATCTTTATAATTATGTATGTTCCCCAATTTTTTACTATTTTTCTAAGCTTTTATGTGTAGCAGGCCAACAAGCCACTAGATGGCAAACAATTTCAGTGAGATAATACACTCGTATTTGCGCAACCTCCTGTCCCTAGCTGTGTCACTGAGACTATGGAGTGTAGTCCTATGACCGTTTATAGAAATCCAGGGTGAAGCTGATATGATCCTCCTTCAGCCCAGTTCCCTGGGCTCTGCTATGCTAGTATTCATGCAGCTAGGTAACTAGGTGGATTCATGGAGGTGCTTGATGCAAAAACT